TGGCTAGTGGAATACCTGCCATGATTGCCATCGGCATATAAAGTGCTATCCGGTCAATGACATTATTGGACCATACCAATGTGGCTTCAAGCCTGGCAAATCCACCATTGCCAAATTTTCACTCTGCGCTAGATCCTGGAAAAGTCCCACGAAAAACACACCACCACATTCCACCTCTTCGACGACTATAAAGCCGCATTCGACAGCCCTACCCGTCCAGATGTGTTTAGAGACATGCCTGCGTTTGGCATTCCTGCAAAATTAATACGTCTATGCAGGATAACTTTAACTGGCACAAGGTCAGCATACTATACTATCTATTCTCGGACATCGACATAGTCAGCTGCAGCGACTCCGTTGGCTACGCCATGTTGTGAGAATGGATGAAGATGCCCCAGCACAAAAGGCATATAAAAGCGAGCCAAGCGTTGGCCTACGCAATGGGGGAAGGCAACGAATCCGATGGAAAATCAAGTTGAAGACAATAGCAAAACTTGTACCGGTCACATTTTCAATTCCAAATATCGTAGGTGTATTAACGAAAATTTTATATTTTTAATCCTATATGTATATTACATCATTCAGTTTGTTCAGTACGTATTTCAAAATACCCAGTCTACTTTACCTTTATTGAAACCAAAAACAATGATTATTCCAAAGTTCGGAATTTATATTATTCTTGTAAAAATTCGCTGAAAAGCAAATTGAATTTTTGAGACCATGCTTCCTCGGATATCACCTAGTCATTTTCAAGGTCTATACCATTAAAAGGAACTATTTTCTGTTGGTTTGTCCAAAAGTTTTCTAATTCATCGAAGTAATATATAATTATGTGAACTGTTACATATACACTAATAAAACATACAAAATTACCTCTATGTATTAATTTTGGATCCTACAGAAACAAATTTTATAACCAACATAAAATTCTCTACAGTCTTACTGGGAACTAATTTAATGTTTTTCACAATTTTCACGTTTATATTCCTAGAGGTATTGTTCGGCAGCTTCAAAGTAATTACAAATTATAAAATTTATTACCTTTATTTTCTACACATGTATACATATGTGTACGCCACCCTTATATTAACCTGTAGCCTTGTTCCCCTCAAACTATTTCAAAATCAAAAACTTGTCGATTAATGAGAAAACGTCATTTTGAAATTTTGTAATCCTGAAATGTGTCTACTTTTCTATCTCTCAAATTATTTACAGAAAATACAATATATTTTTGAACACATAGGATAATATACACACTTTTAGAAACAATAGAAATTCTTTTATTTTTATATTGATACATTAAATTTACAGTGTGGGGATTTAAAATTAGAGAGGGTGGGAATGGAAACTAGATTTAGATTTATTATAAAACAAGTAAAACGTCGTCGAACAACTCTAGTTCATTAAAAACGATCAGATTTTTTTTTAATTTTTTTTCCAGAGGTAGCTGTTTTTACCCTAACTATATTTTTTTCTTAGGGGACGTACCAAAAAATCAGAGGGTTTTTACTAAACTAGAGTTAAGCCAACTTCTTTCACCTCGACTGAAATTTCAGGTGGGGAAAATTCGGCTAAGACCATCAGCAAACCAAAATTGATAGAGACCCTTATAAGGTAGCTATTATGTCAAAATATGGACCTTTACCGAAATTATTTTCTACCCTCCAAGAAATCCCTAAAAAAATTTCAGAAATATATTTTTTTCTCTCCTAAAGCCTTAATACATGATTCCGATACTGTATTTAATTCAATCTACTTATCTTCAAATTATCCTTAGTCTGTTGTTTTTTTTTTCAAAGTTTTTCCCTTTAATACACCACATATTATAGGTCTGTCTGCCTACCACACTCTACTATTGAACGAACAGTCGCGTTATATTTTCATTCGTTTTTCCCCTCACTACATACATGTGTACATAGAAGATATTTTGATGTCCTTTCCCCATAATTCCCTTCTGCCGCCAAAGAGGGATATAAAACAAAACTAGAAAGAAACACCAACAGAGCATCAAGACGAAGAAACTGGTCACTCTGCTCATTTATTTCATTTTGATGCCACCATTGTTCTTTTTCGCTATTCTTGTTTTTGTGTTGTTGTTGGCTACTGCTAATTTATCGCTATAATTGCCAAAATGACCAAATGGGGAGTTTTATTACACCAGCTGCAAAAATGATGACCAAAGCATTGGGCAAAAATTTTCATCTGACAATGACCATCATCAGTACACCATACCAAACACCCACCCTTTTCCCTCAAAACTGTAATAATGCCTTTGGCACAAATGGAAAATTATCGACTCTGTTTTCAAAATGTTTTCTTTTCTTTTTTAATTTTTACTGAGGAGGGTTTGAATTCTGTCTGGGGCTTCATGTGGCTAATTTTACATTTTTAATTGTAATTCATAAATTACATTATTTACTTAAGTAGTTCGTGGGTGGGAGTTTAATTTGAGTGTATGTGTGAGGGTCTCTTTTTCAAATACATATGTAGTGTCTATTTGTGTACAAAAGATAAAGGAAATCATTAGCAGCGTTCTATATTTTAACGACGGTTGAAAGTAGATTTCTCTTTTTGATCCTAAGAAGCACGGGTGACGTACATATCGACCAAAATTCGGAGATAGGTGGGAATGGCAGAATAAGTGACAGGATATTGCTATGCTCACAGCAGAAGCATCTATCTTGGGTCAGATGGTAAGAAGGATATCCCATTTATCTAATAAGATCCTACATAAAAAGGAGCTATCAGATTATTCAATTTGATTTGTCAAAGATATTCAATGTGTTTTGGAAGCTGGTAGCAGTATTTGCCTCCCAGGGAGCAAATCAAACTTAAAATACAGAGAAATAAGAAGTCGGGGACTCATTCACGTTCTCATTGAAAGACCTTCTGTTGGAAGTAGGGTCGGAGACCCGATTATCAGAATAAAATTCTATGTAGATTTACTTATGCCCGCCTGTCTGTTGAGCTCACAATAGAGTTCCCAATATTTGCACTGAAATTTTACATATACATTGTGCGAATTAGAAACGCGCAAACCCCTTCTAAATACCTTAAATGAGACGGGATTTTTATATGGACAACGCTAGAGTGTTAGGCGACTTTGAGCCCATCAGAGTTTTGCGGTTTGCAATCAAAGTACCGACTGTATTTGAACGGAGCCTTGTTGATACCAGGGCGGTTTGAAATCAACAAGTTATTGATTTATTATTGATTATAATCAATAATTATTGAGGCTTAGTCACCAAGTCTTTACCATGGTATGGACCGGGCTCAGATGAATACTCGAACAGGGGTTGTGTGTGTCGTATTTTTAAACATTATTATTATATCCCGTGATGCCTGCTCCGAACACTTTTGGTCCACGACGGGATAGAAAGAAGCCTCGGACCTTGGTTCTGTTCCGTTGTCGGAACCGCATCTATGTCGGTGCGATGCATTCGATGGGTGCATTTCCGCGGCTGTTGCATAATGCCTTGGCATTTCTTCCAGTGTGTCCTCATCATTTTCACCATCAGCTTTATGGTCTCCACAATCTCCTCTACAACAGATGCAGGACCTGGCACCACATGTTGCTGTACAACGGGGTTTGCCGTTTAACTGCAATGGACTGCGAAACAAAATCAGTGAAATCGTAGATTTTGTGAATGAGAATCCAAATTGAAAGATACCTTTAGCCTTTCCGATGATTACAAAGATCGAGAAGGTGGACGACTTCTTTCTTGTTACACCATTCGGTAAAGTAAAGACCTATCTCGCCTGAGCAATTGACGGTTCTACATTTTACAGGGTGAATGAGAATGACCCCACGATAATTAGAGAAGATTGCCACAGTCTGATAAATGAGGTAGTCTGGCAACCATTTCATTTCTCTTGGTTCAGACCTCATCCCCATTATCGTCTCCGTAAATATACCACCTGATGTCATTACCTCTAAACGCCGAACTTTCCTTAAGCATGCTAAAGCTGATTGGCAAGGTTTCATAAATCTTGGCAAGGTTTCATAAATCGTCGCGGTATTTGCGAATGAGCATGATGAGCTTCGTGTCATACAACATCTGAAGGTCCAAGTGCACCATTGAAGTCAACAGATTAGTATGTCCCGGAAGGACGATAGAACGTATGTCCCGGTTAGCGACGTTAGAGACCCTCGAGCCGAGGAGGTACCACCACAATTTAATTCATCTAAAGCGTTGGGCCCGAAAAGAATTTCAATGGTAATGCTTAAGCAACTGGATGGACCTGGAGTAGAGTACTTAACTGTACTCAACCTGGAAAATAGGCAGAGTGGTCCCTCTACAGGTCCACGACGGGATACAAAGAAGCCTCGGACCTTGGTTCTGTTCCGTTGTCGGAAACGCATCCACCGCATCTAAGTCGGTGCGATGCATGGAATGGGTGAATTTCCGTGCTTATTTATGTTATTTCGCTGCATGCTGCATCAGCATATCTTCCAGTGTGCCTTCATCATATTCACCATTCGCGTTATGGTCTCCACAATCTCCTCTACAACAGACGCAGAACCAGGCACCACATGTTGCTGTACAACGGATTTTTCCGTTTAACTGTAATGGACTGCGAAACAAAATCAGCGAAATCGTAGATTTTATGAATGAGAATAACGAGAACCTAAAATTGAGCAGAGCAACACCTCTGCTGGCATCATTGCCAGTCTTCAAGAATTGCTAAATTTACACGCCGTTAGTGGTTACATCTCATATATGTTCGATGAAGTAAACAAAAGCTCTTAAATATAAGTTTTGAGATTGCTATGACGTTTTCCTTGAAATTGCTGTCTTTCATTTTTTCCATCTCTTCCCCTTTCCTTTTAAATTAATGATAATACATTTTTTAATAATATAACTTTCAGTTTCTCAAACTTGTTTATAACTATTGGAATATCTTTATTAAATGTTTCATAATAAAAACTATTAAATACTTCTTTAAATTATACATAATCAAATCAACCAAACAGTATAATATGCTCAAAAAATATATTTTTATCCTTCTGCTGTAACAGCAACATTCGTTTCTTCCAACTTGGGCGTTGTACTTTCTGATTTTGCAATAACTTCAATTTTATTTGGCACCAAATGTTTCAATGGTTCCAAAATTTCTTTTTGCTGTAAATAAGTAATTTTCATATTCTCCAAAGTATTTAAATTTACACCCAAATGACCACATAATGCCGTTGGTGGAAATATGGCGTGGATACAACGTTGCAAATAGGGTATCATTTCATGGGCAAAACAATAACATAACTTTGAAAATGTTTCTCGTTCACTTGCGGTAAATGCTTGTTGTTCCTGGCGATAGAAAGCTAAGATGCGTTTAGCCACCAACTCCAGTGATTGTTGTAACGACAGAGTAACATCATTTGCCAGTGCTGTCGGTGCACATAACCTCAAATCATTAAGAGCATTTAAATAGCCATTACACAATGCAGCTAATGGATGGAAATCTAATAAAGTTTCAGGTGGTGAATATGATTCAATATCGTTAGTGTCATTTTTCGCAGCTGTCGATGGTTGTCGACTAGTGTGTACAGTTATTTTATTAATGAGGGTGTATTTTTCCAATTCTCTTTCGAATTGTTCATTAACATTGCCGATTGCATTGAAGAATTTCTCCTTGATAACACGTACAAAAATTGGAGCCATCAGAGCACGAAAATCAGCACCAACTCGACTAAATGATAAACCAAAATACATGCATTGACCCAACACAGTGTCGAAGGAGGTTATACCACGTTGTAAATCCAGTTCCAATGTTTTCAAAAAGTCGGAGATCTATAAAAATTAGAGGATATTATTATAAATTTGAAAGTGTAAATAGCAGGGAATTATTTTTAACTTACTTTCTCATGTAACCAACTTTGGAAGAGACGTTCTCCATCACAACTTACACCCTGTAGAGGTTTGTCGTTTTGTGGTATGGCCATACTGTTGTCTTCATCAGGGAAGATAGCCTTGTATTGTGTAATAATGTTGAATAGATTTACCCGGGTAACTTCAATAGTTTTAGTTAGATGTTGTTGAGCTAAAAAAATACATATTGAAATATAAAATATTAAACAAATGAATTAAAAAATTGAATTTAAAATTTATTAAATAGCCCTCTGGTGGTGTATAGTTGTATCACAATACAAATTAGACATCCTCCATATATTCGAACATAGCGAAGTTATTAACCTACACTTTATTTCGAAATAAAATATAATTTATTTTCGGCATGTAGATGGCGTAGTCTACAGGTAAACAAAGACGCAAAATATATTATATAAATAAGAAATACAAAGATGTACAATGTTTCTATATTTATAAATAGTGACCGATGTGAGGATATATATTGGTCCTAGACCCATCTTTTAGTATACCGATAGTCTCGACTAGTCTGAGTCGACCTAGATATGTGTGTTCGCCCGTCCAATATAATTCGTAAACAAAGTACATCACGAAAGTGTACACGGAGAAGGAAGGAAGGAAGCCGGTACATTTTTAGCAGGTCAAATGATACGAGACCAGTGTTAAAAAATACAAAATTTGCATTCTATGTCGTTTTAAACATAAACCAAGGAAAGTAGGCAGTATATCCATTAGGTGACGTAAATGATGGCTAGAGAATTTAGCATAAAGTTCCGGTTCAAGAACGACACCCATAGTTTTCGGTTGTGATCGGATGATATTGATGAGAGGAATGGATCGAAAACTGTTTGACCGAAATGTTTGTCCGATTTTCTAATCGGGTCATAATTGTTACATTCTGCAATTATTAATTGTTACATTACAATTATGATCCGAATGTAACGAATATACACATAGTGGGGGATCTGGGCAACAGATAAGCATCACTCTTTTAAGTACAATCGATCACTATTTAGCCGATCGACTGAAGTAGAATATTATGGTGTATATGTTCACTGTTGGAAGTTATCAAATCTATTGATGTAAGAAGACGGATATGGAAGATATACTGAAACTAGTAAAGGTATATGGTTTAATATTATCATTACCATAACAGAGAATGTAAAATGTTTGCAAGGCTTTGGATTTAGCTCCGCAGAAGTTAAAGGCAAGGATGCTGAAAGTTCGGACCGTTGGACTATACTACACCTCTAACTGGTTTCAGAATGAGCTGTATGATTTTTTCTTATATTATGATACAGCAATGTTTTCCGAAATGTTTGGCATTGCGTACCACGAACGTGACCGACACTGAATCGATGTAGATCCTTTTAATGACGAAATGTCTTGAATAGAAATTTGTTCCTCTACGAAAATTTTTTCTATAAGACTTCACATTGTTAAATTAAATATCATATATCAATATTATTTCAGTATTTTGAAGGTTTTAGACGCATTTACCATTCAAAGGGCTGTAGTTTCTCATTCCACTTTCTTATTGGAAAACTATATTTTCGGGAAAAAGTTCAGTACGGCGACCGTGCAACTTTAATTGAGTGGGACCTTGACCACTCAATTAAAGTTGCACGGAACTTGGGATCAATATTTCATCCTTAAAGTTTTTGTATGACACATACGAAGCTAATCGCTTCAAAATGACCATTCGATCAAAATTATATAGTTTTAGTTAAAATCTGAGGACGCCAACTGATATTAAAAGGGAGCTATTATTCTATTACTATCATATATCACTTACCATCATCTATTGGTATTGCCTTCAACGATGCCGTTAGCCAAGAATCTCTTGCTTGTAGGAATTTCAATTTTAATTCATTGGTACCGAAGGCTTGCATGCGTCGCAAGTAGCCAACAATTTGTAAACATTTCGGCAATTGTAAATCAGTACGAAGTTGTGCAACCAATTGGACCAGCATTGTGTGCCACAACGATTCCACAGATTGGACGATACTCTAAATGGAATTGTAAATGTTAAAATTGTGTTATGTTGTGTTATTGTGTTATAGATCAATTAATCACAATTTGTACGCAGTGGTTCCATATAGCAAGTTAAAACTTACCTTTACAACTAAGATATGCCCCTGGTTTTCACCCATTTTCTGTACATATGCAGCCAGCTCAAGAGCTTCTTCATATCGACCCTCACGTATACAACGTTCCATAAGCTGAGGCAATTCCAATATTTCCAAAAGTTGTGCATTCTTTTTGAGTGTGATAGAATTCAGACGTCTTTGTTCGTTGATCTCAACCGATCGTTCAAGGAATGTTTCACATTTCTCACTAAGCTCTGGTAACTTTTCCACCACGGTACCCACTTGTGATTCAGCCTTCTGGAATTCTTTGTAAATAGAACGAGAATTTTCTGCTGTCTTAATAAATGTCTTATAATTTGATATTGCCAAATCTTGGGTCTGTTCCACAATGTGTTTAGTTTCGTCGGCAAGTCGGGATTGTTCCTTCTTCAATTGATCGACTTTGTAAGAACCCAATTTGTTGAGATAATTGAAAAGTTCCGGATTGTCGGCAAGATTTTCTGTAAGGAAAATTGATTTGGGTTAGTTTGGATTTGTGATTTTTGGAAAATGTATCGGTACATACCAGGCACACCATCTGGAAATATTAGTTTAAGGATTCTTTCACTTTCCAAATCCATTATTTTGCTCAAGTTTAAAAAGAGATGAAAATACGAATGCCAACACTGCCTATTGGGAAAACAACGAAAAACAGCTGTTCAGCGCGATAGAGTTTACTAGTTCGCGAACTAACAAGTTCAATTGAACGATTCACTGAAAAGAGCGTATACAGCAGGTCAGGTTTATAGTTTAGTTCAAGGTTTTAGTTCAAGAACTAAATAATGTCAATAAGGTTGTTGTAGCAACTATCTACAGTTCCAGAACCTAAAAGAATCTACTAATTTTAAAAGTTTTACAGCTTTTTACTCGAAACCCGTTCCTGAACCCACGAAACTAGTACTATGTTCAACCCAATTTAAGGGAGCTCAAAACAAAATGGCGTTCTCCTTGTAAACTTTTTACTAGAAAATTTTGTCCGAGTAAAAATGGTGAACAGGAATGCCAACTTATGATTGGCTGTTATGTTGATTTGGAAGTATTGCCTTCTAACTTTGGCATATTCCCTAGATTTGCGTTACCGAACTTCTAAAATTATTTTGTACTCAGAGAGCGATTTTGAAATGTTTCCTTTTTACTAGCTTTACTATTAAAAAAAGTACTCCAACAGATATACGGCGTATCGTGAGGCGTAAGTCCACACGCAGAGCATGCGTATGTTAAAGCGCTGCCAATTCGGCTGCACCATCCTGAACTTCATTGGGTTAAAACTACTCTCGTCTGTAGGCAGTTTCCTTTATGCTATAGGTGATGGGTGGACTCCAAGAACTGCATTCATTCACCTTTCATTGTCTGTGTCACTGCTTCCGTGTGAATGCGGTTTATTGCTGCCCGATAAGCCTGTTGATCAAGGGATTCTCTCTTATATCGTTGGACTTATCTCTCTAGATCATGTAGGGAGAGACCTACATACCTGCGTTGGGGAATCCTGTCCATAAGGTGATGGTGTGAATGATTCGTACTGCAGGGACAATATACTGTTGTGACGATTTGCGGGTATAAACAAACATTGCCTCCTCGTGTAAATGATCCGTTGGTGTCATGAGGAGGTACACTGTCGCGTTTCTCAGTGCGAAATTCTGACAGGTATCGCTTTCATTCGCAAACCAAACTGTCGCGTCATAGCTTATCAACGGCATACCTATTATTTTCTAGGAGGTCAAACTTTTTTAGTTATTTTTCGAATTTTGCTAAATACTTCAGACAAAGACCATTCAGAATTGGTCGTCCTAGGTTGTTCAAGCGGAATAGTTGTTACATGATCATTTACTTCGATTCGCTTGATTTAGCTCGTCTTCGAAAGCCCACAGGTAGATCTATGATTCGTCACCTGTAAAACTAGTATAAAAATTGTTTTTTATATCGATCGATTTGAACATCTTTTTGACAATTTAAAACCACTGGAAGTCGTCTACCATGAATTCATTAGCGGTTCTTGACTGTAGAGGTGATCTGCATGATATACGTTGGCAGATGGTCAGCGGAACATGGATGCAGGAATTCAAAACCTATCGGGTCTGAGTTCTCAATTAATAGAACTAATTCGATGCTTCTTATAGTAACAGAGATATATAAATTTCACTGTAGGGTCACTATAGATGCTCATCGCTATATAGCAGAAGACATCGGCTGTTTGGCAAATATGAAATTGACACTATAGCATTCTTCTCAGGTTGGCTGGTGATCTCGACATCAGCTACACCCGGACCTTAATTAAGAATGCAAACGCGATCTTTTGACGCCTGATGGAATGAAGTCCTTTTTGGGTGTGTCTGTGCTACTTAGGGTACGACACGGCACATAGCTAGGGGAAACAATTTAATCAACTCATTTGTCATTTGCAAACAACCCATTGTACTTCGAACGCATTATATTGGTACGTTTACAAGTTTATCCAATTTACAAATATTTTGTATTTCTGTTCAATCTAAAATCAATTTGCCTGTTCCCGTACTGCAAGAATCTACAATTTTTTTACTAATGAATTTTCCTTTATGTTATCGAAGAAAACAGTAACATCTAGTAGATTCTTTCAGCAGGGGAACAGACCAAATGTTTCATTTCACATCGTTTATAATAGATCTATGTTTCCAACTCTGCATTCGATAACCTGGTAATCGCATATAAAAACGATAAGAATCGATATTTTGCACCCGACACATATCGAAAATACTACCATCTCAATATCTGCAGCTTTGTGTTGTTTGTTGTCGGTGCCGTCTGTCTGTTCGTTCGTTTAATTGTCTAATCGTTTTTGTGTGTGTCCAATAGAGATTTATTGTAAAATTAAATTTTCGCAATAATTTGAAAAAATCGAAGAAATTCTGCGTCTCTTCGTTGCCAAGTAACATTCCCAGCTGCTATGACATCGTGGGGAAATTTATGCCGTGTCTGTGCTAGCCCTGCCGATTATGATATCTTTGAGAAGATACCTGTATATCTTCATGCAAATTCCAAGGATTTTTTGCATTGGCAAACTCCCATTTATGAGCTGATGCAAGATACGACGGGATTGCGTGTAAGTTGTTTATTAATTGAAAAAATATGGTTTTATAAAGTTTAGGCTCATCTATCTAAGGATGTATACAAAATATATACGTATTAATGTTCTTAAATTTTAGTCATTTAAAACAACAACAATGCCAATAAGCATATAACTTGCATAGAAGTTATTGGAAATATCCTATGTGGGATATGTACATATATAGAGTAAAATATTCTCATAAATTCGAATGATCCAGAAATCAAAACGCAACATCTTACTGCATTTCTAGAAATTAGAAGATGATGCTCAAAAATTCGGCATTGAATTAAACGGAAACGGGAAGCATATTGATTCATTACCGTATGTGTATGGTTTTGAAAAAATGTCCCACAAGAGCCTTATAACGATATATGTATGTACTTTATTCTTTCGGAAATTCATACTCAATTAGATATCGGTTGAGCAGCCTTTTGCCTGCTGTTTCAACTTTCTCCCATGGACAGATGCCAACGCCTGAAACAAGACAGAATCTCATTTTAAATATAATAGTTTGTTTGAATGGACGTACTTCGGCCGGGGATTTACAACTTTCTAATATGAACATATAGCCATTTCCGCGGTCAATGACACGGTTTTCGGAGGAAAAGTAAAAGAAGAATAACACTAGTTTAGTAAAAACGATCAAAATTTTCTGATATTTTGTCCAGACTTAGGTATTTTTACCCTAACTATGGGGATATATTTTTTCTTGGGGGAGGTACTCGGTTATTTGACCCGGAAGTTCGGGTACCCGGTTCCACGGATCCGGTTAAGGCAAATTGTGGCCTATCATTTAAATAAGGATTGGTGAGGGACAATGGTGGACCCATGGTCGACTTTTAGGCGTTCAAAAAAATCAGGGTCCAAAACCCAGTTTTTAACTGTATCTCCAAAAATGAATTTTTATAAGCTATAAGATTATACCCAGAAAAAGTTTCAGAAAAATCTGATCGTTTTTACTAAACTAGAGTTAAGCCAGTAAAATTGTAAATGTTAAATTGAACACAAATTTGTTTTTAACAAGTCACCCTCAATACATTTTTGAGTACCATCAGTGGTAATAAATGAAAGCATCAGGTTTTTAACTCTTGACATCCTTTTTGTTTATTGAAAACTAAACAAACTAAAACTACTTATGGTAAGAATTTGAAAACGGTTCACGACCGGACCTTAGATTAGAAGTAATAAAAAAAAAAATATTTGTTCCTAATTTGGTGTCTATTTTCAAAATTTTCCTAATTGTAGGCCACATTGCTCAATAGGCGAAACGAGTCACACAATTGTGGAATTGTATTATCACTCGCCCTTTTCATTGCAACTTCGATCATGTAGCTCATCTCAAAAGGTAAATAATAAAAAAATAAAGTTTAGTTGTTGCCTTGTCTTTTATTAAAATATCGGAAAACATATAGTTCTCATGCGCCATCTGTATTCTCATACCCTCCACCTTATGGTTTGCAACACCCATATATATTCTTGATCAGAACACAATTTTATGTCGATTTATGAATGCCCATCGAATGATCGATATTCTTAACGGTATCCCTCATTAAATGGTATTTTGAAGAGTTTGAGAACATTTTTTTTAAACAAAATTGGCTCTAATTTGGTTCTTATTGGATGTCAAATCTTCCTACCAAAAATGTATCATGACATACCCCGCCATTTATGAAGGTCCTGAACGAATGCTGATATCTTAAATGTCCACTTCATGTCGCAGAGTATAACAGGACCCGAATTTGTTATTTCTTCATGAATAACACTTTCTTTTAAAGTAATATATTATTATTAATATTAGGCATTGGACTAGGATTTAAAAACTTGACTATATAGACATGTGGAACATAGGGCAATATTGACATGTGGAACATAGGGCAATGCAAAAAAAAAAAAAATGCATAAAAAAATATTTTTTAAATAAAGTAGGAAAAACTGCAAAAACTTATTTTGGCTAATTCGCGTATATAATCGCGTTTTTCTTCGAATTGATTTTACCTAAATTCATGATTGTATTATCATATTCGCGAATCTGTGTGAAAATAGGTCAAAAATACATCGATAAGCGAATAATATGCATCTTTTACCCAAAATTGATTGTGGTGGCACATCCGCAGTTCTTAACCAATTCTTTTAAAATAGGTGTGCTTTTGTGTATATTCAATGGAGATTATTGAAACCCGATGCGCATAAAAATCGTATGTACGTTGCGTCATTTTTAGCCATTTTTACGGTTTTTGCATAGTAAAGTGCATCGAGCGGCACACTATGTCCGCTAAATGAAACACCCAAAAATTCATAATTATTGGTAGAAATTGATTTAGTTTATACGAAAACCGCATGCGCAACAACTGATTTCCACGAATTGCATGCTTTTGAATATTGACCATTTGTATGTATTGTAAGTGCAATATAATTAGTCATTTTTAAAGTCGAAACTCTTATCCGATGAATCTACCGATATTTAGCAATCATCTAAAAGAATTTGCAGAAGAAAGCGTCGTATATTTTAGAAGA